CAGGCATGGTTATGGTTTATTCAGTGAAGCATGACTTTAAAATGATGACTTAATCCAATGCATGGGCCTATTCTTGGTTGGTAATGGGAATAATAAAAGAACTCAGAAACTGAATGTTGGAACCACAGACTAGCATAACCACCCATATAATGGTTAGTCACACAATAATAATGTGACATGGGCGTTCTTATATGGATAGGCTAGTTAGCATACTGTATGTCATGTGACCACAGCACAGGGCCACATATGTGCCAATCACATTTTATTATCCAGGTGGTATGAATGAAGACCTACAATAGGGTACTTAGGGCTGTGGGGTTGTTTTTTGTTTTTTTTTAATAATTAAAGAGTGCACTGGGGAAGGGTGCTGAATTCTTCCCCTCTAGGCTTTTGCTCCAAGCACTTCTTTCTATTTTGAACCCAGATTTGATTTGAAAAGGAAGATAAATACTTGCACAACCAACAGGAGGGAAAAATGGTGGAAAACAAAGGGAGAAATTGGTGCTGTCTGTGTTTTTTTTTTCCTTGTTAAAAAGCCGTATTCATCTTTAAGGAAGATGATCCTGGATTCAGGATGCTCCCCCTTCTTGAAGCACAAGGGGAAAAAAAGAAAGTAGGTCTGTGCCCCCCCCCCTTTGAAAAGGTTTCAGAAGAACTTTAGATTTTCTATACTATTCATTATAGGAATTGACCTTTTTCATGCTTCCATGCAAGTCTGGAAAAAGAAGTTGCTATTGCTTTAAGGACTTATTAAAGTTGACTCCTACACCAGAAGCACATTTTCTTCAGGCTCCTGGAAAACATTAGGCTCCTTCAATGAATAGCAGATAAGTGTTGTGCTTCTGCAAAATCTAGGCATTTCTTCCAGATCATTTTTGAACTGACCCCAGCGCTAAGATGGAAGATAAAGTGATGTTGTAATGGCTCATTGTGCATAAATGGAGCAAAGCACTCTAATGTAAAAAGTACCTGGTATCGAGAAATGGCTCCATATGAGAATGACTTGCAGCCATTAAAAGAACATGATGGCTTTCTTATTGGGTCTTTGCATCCAGACAGGTGCCGTGCAAAGTTCTCAGGCAGCTAAAGAATTATTATAATTAAATAATGTAATTTTAATAAACCTACTACGAACTGGTCATTGAAGAAAACAGGCCTCTTTTGAGGAGTAAAGGCCTGAGGGTTTTTAAAATAGTTTTTAAATGATTATTGTTAAACTATCAAAATGTGTTTAAATCAGTGGAGGATGAGATCAGTACAGCTTTATATACTTAAGATTTCTATGGATATACAATTATTAAAAGTAGTAATTAAGGGGCATCATATTCTGCAGTGGCTTTTTAATTTTTTTGGGGGGGGGCAGGTGCTTCTTGCATTTATATCTGACTTCACATCTTTTTTCTTCCTTGTTTTTCCCAATTCTGATGGGACTTGCCTCCACTTAACCAATATTCATTGATCCATTCAGAACATTCTTTCTTTCTTCTTCTAAAGTTGTGGAGTCACATATAGTTTATTATACAGGGTGTCCTAAAAATCTTAGTGCAGTTTATATGTCTAATACGAGTACACAGATGTGTAGAAGAAAACAACCTTGAGGCTATATATTTTGGTTTTAAAAATACAGCACAGATATATTCATGTCACTTTGAAATTTGGAACCCAAAGTGTAGCTTGTGGATCAGATGCAGAGGAAGCCATAAGCCATGTTTTATTATACTGCCTTTTCTACAGAGATATTAGATACATTTCCCCTTTATTTGTGGATTTCCCAGGACGTATGGACTTTATATA